TGTCAGAACAGAATATTTTGTAACTTGTTTAACAATCAAATGGACCATAGACCTGACCATTCCTCAGAATCAGTTACCAGTTACCTGGGATTCATTACCCAAACTGTCTTTCTGGCCAAGCTTTCCAAAGAAGTGGACTTGGTATAGACATGGAGGGAGTACGTGCTCAGTGTACCCTGGAGAGGGTTCACACACACAGGCCTGAGGGCAAAGCGGGTGGGACAACAGGGAGTCAGGATTCCCCATTCATTCATCTTTCATTCATTCAACAAATATTTATGGAGCACCTACTATATGCTAGAGACTATGTCTTTCTGCAAAAGAGCAATAGCAACACAACAAACCAACAAAATCCTTGTGTTGTGGAGTTTACTTTCTAGTGGGAGAGATAGATGAGAAACATGATATACAAATAAATTACATGGCTTGTTATATAGTGATGGATGCTAGGGAAAAAAATACAGGAGGAAAGGGAGTAGGGAGTATATAAGTATGCATGTGCATGTGTGTGGGTGTTGTGGCAATTTTAGATACGCTGACTAGGGAAGACCTTACTGAGAAGATGACTTTTTGAGTGAGGACCAGAAGGAAGGAAGGGCGGGAGCCATATGATTTCTGAGACTGGAGGATGCTAAGCTGCAGGACCAGTAAACGCAAAGGTGTTGAGGTCAGACTGCGCCTGGCCTATGTGAAGACTGGTGACGAGGCCAGTGGACAAAGATAGGAGGAAGCCAGGGGTTGAAGAGTCAGAGAGAAGGTTGGAGGGGACATAATAGGGGTCAGATTGTTTAGAATCTTATAAGTAAGGACTTTCATTTTTACCTAGTGATAGATGGCGGCCACTGAAATCTTGAATGGAGGAGTGGTGGCCTCATCTCCGGTTTGTTTGAAGTGGACTGTGTTGAGAATAAACCGAAACGGGGTGGACAGAAGCAGGGAGATGAGCCGAGAGACAAGTGCAGTAATCCAGCTGAATTTGTCAGGGAAGTGAGTGGGGGTTTATAGGCTGTTTATGGTCTGTAAAATATCCTTTATGAGCCGAGTTCCAAGTACCAGAGCCAAAAATTGCCTAAGCACGTCATTGTTTACCCAGAATCAGGCTGGCACAGACAAGCAGGTGGAAAACTGTTCCAAGTACAAGTGCATAAAACGGCGAGTTGCCCTGCTTCTTGGCCCAGATCTCCCATAAAGGAATCTTATGTTTACATTGCTGGAGGTTTGTGGTTCCTTCCCATAACTGCTTTAAAAGAACCACCGTTACTGAAACAGTAATTGACTTATTACATTTCTGTAGGAACTTTGCCCATTCTAACAATTAATTTAAAGTTTATAGGAAACTAAAAAGCTCTTTCCTATACTGGATTGGATCTTGGAACAGAAAAAGGACATTAGTAAAAAAACTAGTGAAATCTGAATAAAGTCCTGTTTAGTTAATAGTATTGTACTAATGTTAATTACTTAGCTTGATTAAATACACTACAGTTAATGTGGTAAATATAACGTGTTAACATTAGAAGAAGCTGGGTGAAGGATAATGTGTGAACTTCCTACACTATCTTTGCAATGTTTCTGTAAATTTAAAATTATTCCAAAATGAAAAGTTTATTTTAAGAAACTCTTTGAAAGGCAAAAGAAATTGCACGTGTCAACATTTTGAAAGTTTTTTTTTTTTTTGTCAGAGATTAAGCTGGTCAACACATATATTCTGCACTTTTAAGAGTTTTTTTTGAGATGGAATCTTGCTTTGTCGCTCGGCTGGAGTTCAGTGGTGCAATCTCTACTCACTGCAACCTCCACCTCCCTGGTTCAATTGATTCTCCTACCTCAGCCTCCCGAGTAGCTGGGACTACAGCCTGCCACCACTCCCAGATAATTTTTGTATTTTCAATAGGGATGGGGTTTCACCATGCTGGCCAGGCTGGTCTTGAACTCCTGACCTCAGGCGATCTAACCGCCTGGGCCTCCAAAAGTGTTGGGATTACAGGTGTGAGCCACCACGTCCAGCCTATCCACCCTTAAAAATATTATTACCCCCCCATACAGTTAGAAAATAATAATTTTTTATTAGTTCATTTAGATTAAGCTGCATTTCAAATCCTTCACTTGCCTCCTGCACTAAATGTACATATTTCACTTATGCTCTCAGAGATCTACTCTGCCTGTGAATTAGATACTTTAAAAAACTAGTATTTAACAGTGCAAACCCTTGTCTGTTATTTATTTTCTTTCTTCTTGCTTTCCTCCCTTGCTCTATGTCTTCATTCTTGTTATGCATCATATCTTCACTGAACAAATACAACTGAAGGCAACTGGCGCATATACTACGTCCCCATTTTCTTCTTTCCTAAAGCTAAATATGACCTTTATTTGTTTACTGTTGTGAGGCTTTGGGGAAAGAAATTTGCACTGTGTTAAAAAAGAAAAAATAAAATCTGTTGCCGGGTGTGTTGTCTCATGCTTGTGATTCTAGCACTTGGGGAGGCTGAGGTGAGAGGAATACCTGAGGCCAGGAGTTCAAGATTAGCAAGGGCAACATATTGAGACCCTGTCTCTACAAAAAATTTAAAGAATTAGCTGGAACTGGTGGTGTGAATGTGTAGTCTGGGCTACTCAGGAGGTTGAGGTGGGAGGATTGCTTGAGCCCAAGAGTTTGAGGCTGCAGTGAGCTATGATCATGCCACTGCACTCCAGCTTGTGTGACAGAGCAAATCCTTGTCTGAGGAAAGATAAAAAATCTGATCTTCTCAATGTCTGATTGTTTAAGCCAGAAATAATGAATGCAAATGTCTCCAGGGATAAGGCAAGTGTTGTAAAAGTATAAGGCAATCTAGGGTAATAGATACAAACATACTGGCATAGCCTACTTGGGCTTAAGATGATTCTGATTTTGATTATTCCTGGAAGGTTGTATCCTTCCTAGAACCTGAATGGAAGATTTCAGCCTATTTAGAAAAGGTGCTAAATAAATTCAGGTTATGGTTTAGTCAGGTAATGTGGGAAAAATGTGAGCAGTTGCAGTTTGAAGAATGTAGTAACCAGAAGGAAGACAAATTTACCTTTCTACGTAAGGCAGATAAAAGACTGATGAGATTTTAGCCCTGTAGTGAATCACATAATGATACTGTGGGCTCCTCAAGTGCATCTCTTAGTCACTAGGCAGGACAGCATTTAAATCATCATAGAAAGATGACAAACAGAACCTTATGAAAAAACCTGTAGAAGGATCTCACTTCCTAAGCCTTCTAACATGTTAGGATAGGAAAGTTGTTTCTGATATCTGTCTACTTCAGATTTCCACTGCTATGAATTAAGTCCATGGTAGATAGTTAAATTAATGCAAGCAGGCTAATATTACTAATGTTCTAAAGAAGCTTTAATGAAATGTTTAAGATGCAAAGGATGAGACTGAATTACTAACTTGAACGAAGCAGATAAAGTCAGGACTACATGCACATGCAAAATCCATGAGGAGATGGAGAGCGCAGCGGCAGGACTGGCTCTCTCCTTCATCCTGGGTGTCCCAGGCATGAACAGAGTCACCCTCTGAACACAATAAGCAGTGCACCTGTGACTTACCACATCTTCCATAGGGATCTGGAACAGCTCACCCAGGAACACTGCCTGCATCCTCTGGCCCTTCCTACCATGCCCTTGGCTAGCCTTTTCTCAGAGCTCTGCAGCCACAGACACTATCTAGGCAATAGCATCATCTTCCAGAGACTATAAAACCAAGGACACTGATGGTATTCCTCCACAATGCAAGACAATCATCTCTTGATTTCTGAAAGGCTGGAGAAGTGGGATGGTGTGAACGTCCACCCTTGATGCATTTCCTTCGTATCCTCTGCTAAGAGCAGGTTAAATTGCTAGGATAAATACACCTTATCCAATCTTAGTCCTTCTTTAGCACAGTCTATTCTGTGGAGAAAGGTTATAGTAACAGTATTGAATGGAATCGAACCCAGTGCAATAGTCTTTTCTATGCCAAACGATAGAAATTTTAAACTTGGGACCTGGGGCTATTCAGCTCTTTCCATTCTATTTCCACTGAATAGAAGTGTTTAGAGGTAGAAAGATTGGTTGGTGCTTATTTAAAGAATCAATATGGCTGCATGTGCCACAGTTCTGTATATTATGGGAATGCATTTCTTCATGATTCTGTACAGCATAGCCTGGTTAGGAAAATAGCCAAGCCCCTCATTGCCTTGTACTTGCCTATACCAATAGCAAAAAGGCTGTGCACCAGGACAGAGGCTTTTTATCATGGATATCAGGTACCCATATTTACACACTTGTATGACAGATATGTTAATTCTCTACAAACGCTGATGGTGATTTCTCTAATTTCAAATAAAAATATTTTCTAGGTGTATTTTAAAAATTCTTGGCCAGGTATGGTGGCTGACACCTGTAATCCCAGCACTTTGGGAGGCCGAGGTGGGAGCATCACCTGAGGCAACAGTTCAAGACCAGCCTGGCCGACATGGTGAACCCCCATCTCTACTAAAACTACAAAAATTAGCTGGGTGTCTTGGCACGCATCTGTAATTTCAGCTACTCAGGAGGCTGGGGTAGAAGAATCGCTTGAACTTGGGAGGCGGAGTGAGCCAAGAGCACAACACTGCACTCCAGCCTGGGAGGCTGAGGCAGGAGAATTGCTTGAAAACTGGAGGCAGAGCTTGCAGTGAGCCAAGATCAAGCCACGGCACTCCAGCCTGGGAGACAGAGTGAGACTCCATCTCAAAAACAAAACAAAACAACCAGAAATCATCTGAGGAATCAACAGTGGTCACTAATTCTGGGTTAGACTATCAGCTCTGCAGGCGAAATTTAGTAATTGTTAAAACAGGTTGAACATTCCTTACTGAGTGATTTAAATGAATGTTGCTTGGCTGGAGGGTAAAAGTGAAGGTGTTAGCAGTCCCTCCCACCACCTGAGGCTAAAGGGGAGGAATGCAGTCTCACAGGTAGGCGGCAGGTTTCATGCAACCTTTCCTCACCTCCCCCCAGGCAGCAGGCGGGGGCTCCACTGGAGGGTAGTATTTAGGCACGTCCCAGGCCACTGCAGCCATGAACCATTTGAAGTCCTTGCACTTTAGCTGCTTGCGCAACTCCTTTTGGGCAGAGATGTCCCCCGTGGAGAGATGCCTGTACTCTGGCCGCCGCTGATAAATGTACTCGGCAAATTCATCCATCCAGGTCTCAGCTACCCGCTTCAGGTTCTGTGCAGCAGGAAAAAAGCAAGTTATTTATCAGCTTATTTTTTCAAAGGGTGTTTTTTTGTTGCACCAGAAATTAAAAAAAGAAAAGGAAAAGCTAGCAGACATCGTCAGGCAGCCCTGGTTGGTGGTTTACGAGCAATGGGAGTTTTCCTACCTGCAAGGGATTTGATATAATTAACCTGCGGCTTCGCACACATTTCTGCTTCTGGCATGGGGTTCAACTGCCAATTTGGTAATAATTTATCAGAGCCAGTAAAGATTCAGCTCACTATTATATCAGCTTTCTTATTCCCCCTGTTATTTCATGATTATACATTTTTTGTTTTTTACGTAAAACTAAAGGTTTTGAAACTGGAGAGAATGAAGGTCCTCTTAGGCATGAAATTGCTTAAAGCGTTTCCAGAAACAAGAATCTTGGAAAGAATGAAGACAAGCAAACTATTATTCTTTTCCCCCAACTTTAGAGAGATAACTGAGCATAATTACATTTACAACTGTGTGTTCTGAGATTTTATGTGTGCCACACGGATACCAATCAGAATTTAGCAGTTTACTGCATGATGAAGTGGGGCTAAAGGAAGCATCAAGTAGCCAGTCTTGTCCACAGATGTGTCCCTGGGGTGAAGGAAGCGGAAGGTTGGTGGTGGGGAATAAGCATGGATCTTAGGTGTGGGAGAGTGTGTGGATTCAGTGTAGGAAGCTCAGCCCTTTTGTCAGTTTCGGAATTGACCAAGTTAGGCACCCACGCTGGGTATCAGATTCCTCACCTGAAAATGGCAACAGTAATACATACCTACATCATGGGGGTGGCTGTAGGATTAAGTAAGGCAACAACTGTAAAGCGCTTAGAATAAATACCTGGCACATAATAGGCACCACAAATAGTAGAGCTATTATTAGCAGTGAAATAAGTGCAGGATTGGAAATTGGAGAGCCTGGGTGGTGTTGGGCTAGCCACATGTTAATAGAACTGTTCCTGTGGCCTTTAGGAAAGGGATTAGCTGAGATGAGATGCTCTCTGTTGGGCCTTCAAGCTCTATGGTGCTAAATAGTAGAGAGGGCGACTGCGTTTGTGTAGAAGATGCCAGTTTTGATGCCTCCAGCTTCAATGTGCTGCAGCACATTTTCATAAGCTGGTGGTGTCCCATAGTCTCTGCTTCTTGTGTCCTGCTCAAGTTCTTATTTCAAGTGCTCGGTTGGTGTGAGCATTGACCCACTCCTGTTTCTCATTTGCACTTAGAAGATAAAATGAGCGCAATGGCCAGGAACTTTAATGAGATCTGGACAGAGGTGACTAAAGTAAAAGCTAGTGACATTTAGGAAAAGTGCTTTCCGTAAAAATGACTGCAGAATCCTCATTCAGGCCTGGAACTCTGCCCAGAGGTCTGCTGGATTTGGAGGCATCATCACTGATGCCTCATTCGTAATGAGACCACACATTTCTTCGTCCACTCCACTCATTCCATGTGTTCAGTGTCTCCCAGTGAGCCTCTCCTGTCTGACCTTGTCCCTGCTCCTCGCTCTCCATGGACTCCTTGGGTGCTTTTGGTGGATGGTGGGCATCCAGAAGGGCTCTGTTAACACAGCA